TCGGCCCGGGGTGGTATTGCAAGCATGTCAATTTGGCCACTTTTGAGCCGGGACCTGCCCCCACTGGACACCACTGATATCCAGTCAGAGGAGGAGTGCCAGCAGCCTCTGAAAAGGAGAAAGAAGTAATCATTTCCAAATTCATAGTGCAAAGTTGTTGAATTGTATGTGCACATAGCCATCCTCAGAAATACAATTGTTTGCTGTAAGATCGGAATAGTTGACATTGTGAATATTTCAGTAACTACAGATGAACAAATGTAAATAATGCAGTGTATTTATAGTTTGTCCATGTTCACTTTTAGACCTACTGCTCCTGAATAGTGGTAACCCATCTATATTGAACTGCAACTTAATTATGTTCAAGTTGGCAGGGAGAGTCAAAGACATAAGCCTCAACATTAACCCATTGATTAGTCCAAAGTGATAGTATTCCCCACCCTCCATCTTCCTAGTTATTATTTGACCTTGCGACCTAGCATCGTTAGGCAATTCTGGACGAAACACACGCAAAATGCTCAAAAGTGCAGTTAGTGCCACCAATCTCAGACCAGTCATGAACAACTCTATAGTCGGAGTTTCAGTATTATCTGAATCAATATGAGTTGTTTCTTTTGACTCATGGGTCTCACTGAACTCTAAACTCATAGGGAGCTCATAGTTCCCTATAACTGGTAGCTCCTCTACAACTGACTGAGTAGAGGTTGAAACAATTGGATCCACTACTTCCCTTGGGCACTCTACTTGTCAGTGTTTTCTTGTATATTTGTATTATTAAAGGTCTCCTCAAACTGCTCTAGTATCTCTGACTTTGCGACCTTAAGCATTGAGCTACATTTGCGCCTCTTTGACCAGTGTGATGCCATTCCGAGTGCATGTGCTGTGCAGAATCAGGAACAGGGATTTTAATATTTTCAGATGAGGCTTATTATATGAATCACTTGCTTACTTGAAAAACTAGAGGTTCCCACCCCTACTGACCATACATACTGCCTGTCAAAATATTTAACCCATGTTTAAGGCATAAAATATAAATGAGAATATCACAAGGAAAAAAAACAGCTAAAGTTTTACAGCGACAGAGCTAACACAACCAGAATCTTAAAAGGACAATGTTTTTACCATTAGTAAAATGAATAATCAATGTCGTCTTGCTCTCAAAGATAACATACAACATAACATAACTTAACGGGAAGCCAAAAGTATTTGTCAAAAACTTACACCAACTGGTTGAGGTGGTGATCTGGAGAAAACATTTAAGCGGCAATTTCAACTTTAAAGCTAGTATCTTTGTGGACAGCTTAATGCCATCAAAATCCAAGTAACATTTTTGGAAAACTTCAAAAGTGTATCAAAGTGCTGGCGGATATGCAAGTTTGAGGGCATAAATGAGTCCCATAAGCAATGCACTTTTGCGTTGCATCCCCATCCTTTGATCATCTTTTTTTCTTCAACAACAATGGCCACATCAGCTGGATCCTCTGCACCATCAACCACCAGGATTTTGAGGACATGTTGCCTGGCATCACTGCAGCAGTCCTACATACAATTTACCAGAAAAAAGATATATCTATTGAGCGGCAAGTCAGAATTTCCCGATCATGACAATGACATAATTTCCAGAAAGTAAATCACTAAGTTGATTGTGAGCTAGGATCATACTTTACCTGGCAATCTTCAAAAGGTTCCTCTACTTTCTCACCCAGGTACACAATCAGGCTGTGGATACGTGTCACGTTTCTCCTCAAAGCTTTGGTTCTGTTAACAGTTTAATATAGTGTCAATATTGAAGCCTTATTCATAAACAATGAACTGTCTCAGGAAAACACAAGAGCATACACTAGATTTCCAGACGTATTGGATCACCTGCCTTGATGCGCATATGAATTTAAGTGACATCCCATTCTTGATCCATAGGGTTTAATATGACGTCAGTTAGAGGCCTGCACTTGAGCCCTGGGCCTGACAGACTGAGGGCCGGCTTCGGGCCGATGACCGTATAATTACCTCGGACACGGGCTGGGCTCGGGCACTCACTCTTATTTTTCAATTGAATTAATTTCTTTTTTCTTTAACTGCTAATCGGAATAGTTGACATTGTGAATATTTCAGATGAACAAATGTAAATAATGCAGTGTATTTATAGTTTGTCCATGTTCACTTTTAGACCGACTGCTTCTGAATAGTGGTAACCCATCTATAATGAACTGCAACTTAAGTTTGTTCAAGTTGGCAGGGAGAGTATAATGCATCGCGGTGCTCTGTCTCCTGGTCGCGGATGTGGTGCTCCTCTGTGTTGGATCTGGGGTGGCCCATCCGGCAGCCAGCGCTGTCCAGTTTGGCGCCCGATCACGTCCTCAACACCAGCGCACCCATCCTTCCTCCATGGAGCCTATAGCCTCTATTCGCAATTTAAAACAGTGGTACCGGGTCCTGCCAGACAACGCCATAAAAAGTCACACGTTAAAAGAGTCTGTTGAGGGGGTGTGTTCAATAAAAAGGCAACGGGATAAAAATGTATTAAAATATTTACAAAAGATCCATTAAAAGAGATAAAAACCCATAGTCCGCTGGTCCCCGTGTCCTCACCAAGCCCTTCTCTCCCGGGACCGGGCCGCAGTCTCGCCAGCCACCCGCTAACCACGGGTTGCCACCAGGCACCCGCGGAGGAGAGCGGGCACATCCCAGCCGTGATGTGGGCCTAGCCCGGCACGCACACGCCTTCTGCGCTATCAATGCGCGCCCATCACCGGTGCCGCGCTCCCCTCTGGCTTTAGTCTTCAGTGGTCTCTGGCTGGCGGTGCTCCTCCCCGGTCCGGTGTCCTCCTCTCACGTTCTCTCTGTCTTTCTTTCCCTTCCACAGTGCCCGCCCCCAATTTATGGTCTTGATTAAAAACAGGTGTGGGTAATTGGGAAAGTGTCCAAGGAACCGCGAGATAAAAATGCATGCATAAAACCATAAAAACACACAAATAAGAACGGTTTAAAGTCCCTGTAAAAGTCTACTTTCCCACATTCCCCCCAACTTAAACGTAAGCAGTCCCTGCTACGTTAAAACCAAACTCTGTCCGTTCGCCTGCTTATCCTCTCCGGCGGGCACCACTCCATGTATTCTTTAAAAAACCAGTTTGTAGATCCATTAAAATCATCCGCGGGGCCTCCAACCATCTTCCTCATTAAGGGGCAGGGCCTCTGCGTCCCCAAAGGCAGTCTCTTTCAGTCCAGCGGTTAAAAAAATGCAACAAAAGTAAACTAAATAAAAACAGGGCTGAAACCGTGTAAAATCACTGATCACACCAGTCCTCAACCCTGCCGAGAAACGCCATAATGTCACAAATGTAAAAGCAGGTTCTTTGGATCCGGGTTTAAAAAGCACCACTGGGTTAAAAGCAAATTAAAAACAATTTATTATAAAATACAATAAAAAGCAATAAAAACAATAAAACCCTAGGCTATAAAAACACGGACTAAAAATCTAAAACAGAGGCTAAAAATCTTTCTGGCCACGGCCTGGGCCGCCAGACCACGGGGCTCTCCCCACGCCTGTCTGGCCCACGTCTCACTCTGCAGCCCTCTTCCCCCTTCCCCATCCCCATCTCCGTCTTTTATGCTCAAGGGGCAGGTGTCTTGATTGCCCATCACTTGGGGAGCCGGGGTGCTTCGGGTGGTGTAAGTCAGCAAATAAAACACAACATGCATAAAAAGTCCATAAACACACAGCAAACGTTAAAAGACCCACCACCCTTTTGCACCCTCTGACATATACAAAGCTGTTCTGTCATATGACAGCAAAAAAACAGTCATCCATCCATCCATCCATTTTCCTCCCCTTAATCCATTTCTGGGTTGGGGGGTGGCAGTCAGAGCTGCACCCAGTACACAGAGCACCAGCCCCTCACTGATCCTCCTGCAGGTGGTGAGTCCACAGGAGCTGAGATCTTTCAGTGGGAGCTTCAGGCAAAGTTGGGTTAAGTGTCTTGCCCAAGGACACAACGACAGCAGACATCAGTGGGAGTCATGAAGTAGGTCTTATGGTGGGCTCGAACCGCACAATCTTCATGCTCAAAGGCCAATGCTCTACCAAATGAGCCACTGTCGCCACAGCAAAAAAAAAAAAATACAGGTATATCGCATCTCCATATAAATTCTGAGCGCCCATGTGGCGGATCCAGCAGCGGTTCGTCCGGTCACAAACAACTGAGTGTGGCCGATTATTAGTTTTGCAAAACCACCACCAGAAAGGGTGAAATCAGAGGTCACAAAAAAATGTGTGAACTTCTGTTGCATGGATATTCGGCCGTTTGAAACGACTGCAGGAGTCTGTGTCAGAGAGTTAGCACAAGAATGAATAAATGTCAGCTGCATTTCAGCCAATTAAGTTCTCCTCGACCCCACTACAATATCCCGAAGGTGCAATATTATGGCGAGTGAAAGGAGTGGAGGAACAGTTGAGGAGATAAAGGAGGTGATGTCACTAGTATTGACATGACTACAGATATGTGGATGGATGATTTACATGGCTATCTTATGTCACTATAGCTGCGCTTCCATTGAGCATCAAATTTCAAAATCATAAAATGTCTAATGGAAACGAGCAAATTTCGAATAAATCACAGTTTTTTGATAAAAAGTTAATGCGCTTAAAATCGGTGGTTTTTTGGACGTATCAAGTTCTTCGCAAAACGGCAATGGAAACACTTATTTCGATATAGCGGAGGAAGCCGGGTGTTGTTAAACCCAAAACACAGAAGAAGAAACCAGGAAGTAGCAGGTAGCAGGTAGCGGCATCTTAAGAAAACAAAACATGACTCGCTACGTTTGGACACCGGAGGAGACTAATCACTTTTTAAATTTAATTTGGGAAAGTGGAATAACAAACATATTAGATACAAAGGAACGCAACCATTTATAAAGACCTGGAAAGAGAGATGAATGAGGCCGGGTACGAAAAGCCGTGGTAAATTTTACGCTCAAAGTGGAAAGCCCTGAAGCAGAAATACATGGTCGTGAAAAGAAACTGCAGCAGAAGTGGAGCTGGAGGAAAAGGGACCACTCTGTTCAAGTACTTCCCTGTGATGGATGTGATTCTGGGCCAGAGACCCATCGTCACATCCTTAAACACTGTGCTTAACAGCATAGGTAAGTTCCCTTAATTCATACTTTTAAAGATAGCTAATGCTACCGGCTAGTACGAGTCGTTAGCAGTTAGCTAACGCTACATGTTATGATTACCCTCTTAATGTGGTTATGCGATACATAAATTCATCATGTAACGTATTGTATTGAATAAATATCGTATTCGTATTGTTGTTAGGGAATGAAGAGGAAGAGGAGGATCCAGATGTTGGAGCTCTGGAGGAGGACATGTCTCACGATTGTAAGTCGTACTTTGTTGTATATGGAGCTATATTGATTCAATAATATTTGTGCGTGCATATCCAGATTTGTGTGTGTGTGTGTAGAAATAAAAGTGTGCGTGTGTAAATAGATTTGTATGTACGTATTAAGATTTATGTGTGCGTAACTAGATCTGTGTGTAAGAAAAAGACACAAGTATTTCTCTTACACACAGATCTTTTGACGCAGTCCTGCCTTCGCAGATTCACAAGTGTAACTTGGACTGTGTGTGTGAGTGTGTGTGTAATTTGACATTTGTGTTTGTAACAAAACAATCTGTATGTAAATAACCACGTTGTACGAAGAGAAGAACGGAAAAGATACAAATGTACTTACCTGTTTAAGCATGCACAAATATTATAGAAACAATAATAGCTCTATAGTTGTACTTTTATTATAATAGCCAGGAATGTGCGTGTGTGTCTCTCTTTTCATGCTGTAAAAAAAGAATCATACAGGCGAAACTTGGAAAGTTAAGAGTATAGTGAACAAGTGCATTTATTTCTGTAATACAACTTAAAATGTGAAACTAACTATGTGACGGATATCAAGCTTTTGTTTGTTTAGATTTTGATTATTTATGTCATACAGTTTGTAATAACCAGCTACAACAGCACCATCTGCTGGTATAGTGCTAGAACAACCACATTACAAATCTCTTTTGACACACTCTTGGTGTGTAAAACGAGAGCCTGTGCGTAGCTCTTTGGCTTTATGTCGTACAGTTTGTAATAACCTCAAACTCAAAACCTCAGAATATTAGAATATAATGGAAAGGGACAGTAATGAAACATGAAAAAAAGCATGCAGTTGGGCAAAAAAAAAAAGAAAGCAGTAGTCTAGAGTCTACCCTGTGAAATGTTTGTTTATTGTTGCATTATTAATTTTCCTGCACCATGAAACAAATGTTTATCTTGTTTTAGTAGCATCGTTTGAAGATAATCCACCTGCAACACCACCGAATCCTCCAAGCACCAGTGTGGCAGAAGATGAGGTTGGAGATGGAAGAAGCGGAAGGTGGAGATGCCCAAGAAGCAGAAGATCATCTCTGCAGAGTGTCCTCAGAGAGCCAGCACAGCAGGATAATGCTGTCTTGAACAACATCGCCCAAGTTCTTGCTCGAGCCATGGACTGTTTTGAGCGGTCAACAGCAGCTGCTGAACGCCATGCTTCTGCCCTCGAGGCCTTAGTTGGCCGCCACAAGCAACCACATCCTACTCCCAACTACCAACAACACCCACAGGCCCCCTACTTCCATCAGCATCATCCTCCAGCACAACACCCTCAGTTCACACAACCACAGCAGTCACAATACCAACATCAGGCAATGTTTGAGTCTGAGCCAGCGACCTCCTCACAAAGCCACTCTCCGTCGTACCAAACACTGTAATGTGTAGATTATCTGTGGCTGCCTTTGTAGTTTCCTTAGCAGCAACACACATACAGGTTCTCACCTGTCTTTGGCTCAAGTCCAAAATGTTACATGTGCCTAAAAATTTGCCCTGTAACTTACTTGTACATGTGTCCTCAGAGGTCATATGTTCAAATTAAATTGGATCTTTTCTGAATATTTTCTTTTCAATAGTTACGTTCTGTGTTAATGTTTTTCCCTTATTCTAAATGTTTAGGCATTTTGTTGTTATTGTTTGATTGTATTATATCCATTTGCACTTGTTTACTCTGAAGTAAACACACATACTTGAACTTGAAGTATTACTTTATTTTGTTGTATATTTGTGGCTGATGTGTGGTTACTTAAGTCACCTTATTTTGTTAAAGCTACACTGTGTAATATTTTCTATGTAAGTGGTTAATCGCTCTCAAACCAGTTTGGTTCTGTCAAATGTCAGAGGGCTCATTCTTAAAGAAAAAAAGACAACATGTTGTGGTATGATTTGTTTTCAGCATTTTACTTTTACAAGACTGAGACACAAAATACTTATCTGATTCAATGCAATCTAATTTTAACTTGCCTTAAATAAAGGTTTGAAGGTTTTCAAATAACTTTTTTACCAAACTTTCCAAACTCAGATGGTTAACTTAATGGTTCCTGAGCAGGTGATTCACCAGAGCCTGTCTGATTTGAACTCCTTCTGTGTCTGGTTCATCTTGGTTCATGGCCTGAGGTGGTTGTGGTTGAGGTACATGGTTTGATCCTGCAGGTGGTAGCCGTTGCCTCTTTTCCTCACACACATTATGCAGAATGCAACAACTGGAAACCACTTCTGGCATAAAATCATGGTGGATATCTGATGTTTTGGCCAGGACAGGCCACCTAGCTTTCAGATGCTCCACTTTAACTCGAATAGCACCAAGGCGCTCATTGAACAGTAGTTGTTCCTGTTTTTTGATCATGACCTGAAAATCCCTTAATGAGCCAGGGCAGGAGAGGGTATGCAGGGTCCCCAACCAGCAAAAGAGGCACTTTTACACCTTCAATATCCTTGTCTGCCTGTGGGTGTTTTTCTGGGTGCCTAGAAAAAAGTGTTACATATGATTACAGTGTTGGGGATGAAACACGAATGTATAATATGGGTAAATACATGTAATTGCTGTTGAATATATATTATTAAATATACCTGAATAATTTGGATGTGGCAAAAACTGAAGCCTCATGAGCACTGCCTGGTGTCCCAATACAGACTTCTCTGATCATCAGCTGATCGTCCACAACAGCCTGCAGGGTAATTGACGTTTCATCCTCTCCCAAGTATACGGAGATTGCCGCTCCATTACACTCAGAACGAGATGCCGCCGACGCTTAATCCGGTTAATGATGAGAGCCGCAGCGGAAGTCAAGACATTAATATATCTCACTTAAATCAAAGTGTTGTTTACTTCTGTTGCCATTAATGGAAACGGCAGCTTTTGCGAAATACAGGTTTTTCGAATTTTGCATTGTATCGAAAAAGTTTTGCGCATTATCCAATGGAAACGCAACTATTGTAACACCAACATTTGAACTCAAGAGCAAGCTACTCACCACGACATGCTTCCCAAACCATGCTAAAACAGGACATTATGTCCGAATAGAGCTTCAACAGCAGATAGTCACAGTCCTCGGCTTTGATGCATCAGTTATGAACAATGTTGTCTGGGTAACCGACCATGGTGGCCGCTCTCCGTCCATACAGGCACCTGGCTTGTCTAGATCACCTGTATAACACAGTCCTTCGACATACCTTAAACACGGATTAGCTGGCTGAAGTAGCAGAGACCCTGTTGGCAGCGAAGGCTTTAGTCTGCTACCTAAAACAATCTGGCCCAGTCAATCAGCTGCCAAGAACTGTTGAACAAATGCCAGAGACCGGCAGGAGCATGCTAAAGTGTCCTGATCATCACCAATCCTTTCTGTTGGACACTAACTGTCCAACAAGACCCTCCTGCATTGACAGGGAAAAACTCTTTAAAAAACCCAGTGGGAAAAAGTGAGAAACCTTGGGGAGAACTAGGGAAACCCACAGGCAGGGAGACCCATTTGAACACGTTCTACTGTCACTTTGAATCCGCTGATGCCTGTCCTACTGTATTCCCTGAGTATTTCAATCAAGGTACCTTCACCGTGACTCAGGAGGAAGTCAGGCGTGTCTTGTCCAGGACCACAGTCCGGAAAGCCCCAGGCCCGGACGGCATCCCTCCTCGTGTCCTGAAACTGTGCTCTGAGCAACTTGCCCCTGTGCTAACAGACATTTTCAACCTGTCGCTAAGGAACTGTACTGTGCCGAACTGCTTTAAAGAGTCGACCATCATTCCAGTTCCTAAGAAAACTCCTGTGACATGCCTGAATGACTATCGTCCTGTGGCCCTCACGTCTGTCCTTATGAAGACTTTTGAGCGGCTTGTGCTGGACTTCATGAAGAGCCAGATCCCTGTGAGTGTTGACCCGCTCCAGTTTGCTACAGACAGAACAGGAGTGTGGAGGATGCCATCTCCTTTGCTCTGAACTCTGTCTATGGTCACTTGGACACTAGTAAATCTGTCGCGAGAATGCTTTTCATCGATTATAGCTCTGCTTTTAACTGCCTTGTCCCAGGTAAACTGATTGAAAAGCTCATGTCTCTCGGTTTAAGTGTTGCCATGTGAAATGGATTTTTAGCTTTTTAACAGACAGATCTCAGAGAGTGAAAATCAATGACTGTTTTTCTGATGTTGTTTCTGTGAGCACTGGTTCTCCTCAGGGATGTATTTTGAGTCCTTTGCTTTTTACTTTGTACACTCACGATTGTGTGTCCTCCTCTGACTCAAACTTGATCATTAAATATGCTGATGACACCACCATCATCGGTCTCATCAGTAACAATGATGAATCCTCTTATAGAGCAGAGATACAAAATGTGGTTCAGTGGAGTAAAACTAACAACCTTCAGTTGAACGCATCGAAAACATGTGAACTGGTCTACGACTTCAGTCGCAATAGTTCTCATTTGCCTGTCGTAATCGACAACTCCCGAGTGCAGATCGTAGAGGAGTGCAAGTTTCTGGGTTTAACTCTGTCTAACGACCTGAAATGGGTTAAAAACACTGACCGAGTCGTTAAGAAAGCTCGTCAGCGTCTCTACTTTCTGCGTAAACTTAGAGAATTTACCACTAACTCTAAGATTCTGCTTAACTTTTATCGCTGCACCATTGAGAGTTTACTTGTTGGTTCTGTGTCTGTGTGGTTTGGAAACATCACAGATAAAGAAAAGAGAGCTTTAAACAAGGTGCTCCGCTCTGCAAAGAGGACCGTGGGCTGTGAGCTTCCTGTTCTGGAGGTTCTTTATAAATCCAGACTTTTAAACAAAGCTCTTAGGATTGTCAATGACTCTTCTGGCCACCCTGGAAAAGCCATGTTCCAGCTTCTTCCCTCTGGCAGAAGATATCGCTCTCTGAGATGCAGGACATCTCGTTACGCTAACAGTTTTTATCCACAAGCTGTTATCGGTGTGAACAGAGCACTTTAATGATTTGCACTTGTTTTGAAACTGTTTTAGTCGATCGATTTCACAGTGACATTTGTTTACTGTTTTATTTGTTTTATTTTTGTCTTTTAATGTTGTTTTATGTCTGTATTTGTCTGTGCACACTGGAGACTTTTGCTAATGTATTCCAATGTGGTTTTTTTACTGCAAATGGCAAATAAACTGAATCTGAATTTGAGAAAGGGATCCGCTCCTCCGGACAGACAGGCTAATGATCTAGGACCTAAGCTAGCTACAGGACGTGGACCAGTGGCCGCTGAACGTGGACAGGTCCGGTGCAGGACTGAAGCACTCCCAGGCGGGTCGGGCGGGGCAGTCCGCAGGTGTAGATGGAGGAGGCCAGGCTCAGAGATCCCGTCATCGTACCATGAAACAGACAATTGGACAACGGGTGAATAGCAATGAACAAACTACAGCACCAAGATTCATGGATTGCACACCAGGTGTGCAAACCGATCCAGGCAAACCTAATTATATATTATATATCATATACACCACATATACCATACATAGCATATATATCATATATAATACATAACATACAGCATAATATATAACATAATATACAACATAACACAATACACAACATAATACATATATTGTATAATATATAACATAATACACCATATATTATATATTACCTAATTATATGCTAAATTAAAGTAGAGTGCTTTAAGCCTGGCCTTGAATGTGGAGACCGTATCTGCTTCCTTACCATAAATGGGAAGCTGATTCCACAGTAAAGGAGCTTGGTAGCTAAATGCTCTGCCGCCAACAGTGATTTTTGAGACCTTAGGAACCACCAGACGTCTGCCGTTTTGTGAGCACAACACTCTACTTGGTTGATACGACACTAACGTGTCTTGGAGATAAGAAGGAGCCAAGCCATTTATGGCTTTATATGTTAAGAGAAGGATTTTAAACTTTATTCTGTACTCCACAGCGAGCCAGTGGAGTGATTTTAACACCGGAGTTATGTGCTCCCTCCTTTTGGTACCTGTTAAGATCCTAGCTGCTGTATTCTGAACGAGCTGGAAGCTCTTCAAAGAGGCTTTAGGGCACGCTGCCAATAAAGCGTTACAGTAGTCGAGTCTTGAGGTGACAAACGCGTGAATACGTTTTTCCGCGTCACTTTTAGGAAGGAAATTCCTAATTTTAGCGATGTTCCGTAAGTGGAAGTACGCCGTTTTAGCTGCTTGGCTTATATAAGCCTTGAAGGAGAGTTCTTGGTCAAAAATGACTCCAAGATTCCTCACAGTGTTACTGGGTATAATACTGACATTATCAAGAGTGGTTATCTGGTTAGTAAGGGAGTCACGCAGGCGCTTCGGACCGAGTAGGATCACTTCTGTCTTCTCCGGGTTGAGAAGTAGGAAGTTAAGAGTCATCCACATTTTAAGGTCCTTTATGCAGGCACTAAGCTTTTCTA